GCAGGAATGACACCTTTTACGCTTCTTATATCTCATTACAGTGATGGGCACAGCTGTCTGGGAGCCAGTCAAGAGTAGGAGACTCTTCTGACCATTGTTTTATACCCATTACCAAGCATAGTGTCTGACCTGCAGCAGCCATTAAAAATAGTTGTTGGGTCACTTAATAGATGACAGAATGGGGGGCTGGATGAACAAATACATGAATAACTAGATACTCATCAACACATTCAATCAGAGACAGTGAGGAGACATGACTGTCGGTAACAATAGGGTTTGAGAACAATGAAATCATCAAGAAATAGGATTTGCCATATTGGAGAGGTAGGGAAAAAGGGATTAAGAATAAATCCAAGTTCCTGGCTTAAATAATGTCAATACAAACTATGAAATGTTGTTTTCAAATATAATTCCACGTCCTGCTTGCACTCCCAACCACAATGTCAAGTTCAGGACTTTGCTTACAGGTGCAGTTCCCTATCATACTTCTATTGGTGTGCCCATAGTACTTTACTGCACTAATTTGTTTGTATATCCTTGGGTTGTGTTTTCTCCTTTGGTAGTCTAAAACTTTCTTAAGGGAAGGGATTATTGCTAAAAATATTTCTGCAAAGCAGGAGTATTAACACCTGCCTTACAAATTGCTTTCAGGGATAAATCCAATAATGTGTTGGACGGGGAGTGTGATTATCATAAAGCCTGGCACCTTGTTATTGGTCTATCAGAGGCAGAGTTTTTAGATCAACTTTATATACTACCTGGCATGTAATAGGAACTCAATTAATGTTTGAAATAACTAAATGAGTGGGTGATCAAGTTTCTTAAGATTATCTCTTCCCAGGATTCTCTGAACATGTGTGCATGTATATATGTGTGTGAGATCATGATCTTTTGCTCAGTTAAGGAATGACTGACTAGTATTCATAAGTTTTAATTACAGTGATACTCATAAAGAAAACAGAAGTAATGTACTTTCCCTAATATTCTACTAGGCAGGAGAGCTACAGAGCTCCTTCTCTACTTCTAATGACAAATTCAAGCCCACTGCTTAGTTTATACTAAGAATTCACTAAATATTTGTTTATTAAATGAATAATTGTATTTTGCACGCTTCATCACTAAGATTTCTCTCTCTTAAACATACCAGAGTTTTATAATATCCCTCCCAATATATGGCACCTGCAAACTGCAAATATAGCATGGACCAGTACTACGTACAGCACAACTAAGCCACCTGAGCAATGTCATACAGAATCAGAAGTGGGTACAATTCAATACACACGTGTGGTTTCAGTTCCCCGAAGGCCTTCGCTAGCAGTATGAGCGTATACTGCAAAGACTGCTATCTGATATTCGGTTAAAGACATCAAGTTTTTCAATACTGTGGAAGATACGCTTCCATCCACCACCACCTGTAGAAAGAACAGTTTGAGGAATGAGAAAATGGAATATCTCACATGCAGACTGGAAATCCAAAAGCAAAAATATCTCTAGGAAGAACATTTCATTAAATATTTTCTTATGTGCACCACATCCTCTTTTCCACTGTGGCAGTCAATTCCCCTTGAATTCTCACATGAAGTGACCCACCTTTTAGGAATATGTCCAAAAGTCCCTTACTAATTCACATCTAATGGAAACTGTGTCATTCCCAAGCTAATGGTTATCCTAATCACATCCACTTAGTAACAGTTGACATGTGATATTTTTCCATGGAGCCTTAGGAAGCATTTAAAAGGTTTATTAGTAATGAAAAAGATAGAGCAATTGGAAGCACTCTGATTTTTTTTTTTTTAAGTCCAGACGACTTTAACCTCTAGAATCTACTCAAACACTGAAAAAAACCAAAAACCAAAAAACATAAATCCTGCCATAATGCAGAAGAAAACTGTGAAACATGCTGAGGTAAATCAGAGGTTAGAGCAACAAAAGGTGTTAGCACTTCAAAAGAAGAGAGGGAGGGACTTCCCTGGTGGCGCGGTGGTTAAGAATCCACCTGCCAATGCAGGGGACACAGGTTTGATCCCTGGTCCAGGAAGATCCCGCATGCCGCGGAGCAACTAAGCCTGTGTGCTACAACTACTGAGCCTACGCTCTAGAGCCCGCGAGCCACAGCTACCAAGCCCACGCACCACAACTACTGAAGCCCGCACACCTAGAGCCCATGCTCCGCAACAAGAGAAGCCACCGCAATGAGAAGCCCTGGCACTGCAACGAAGAGTAGCCCCCACTCAATGCAGCTAGAGAAAGCCCGTGTGCAGCAACGAAGACCCAGAGCAGACTTAATTAATTAATTAATTAATAATTAAAAACAAAAAAGGGAGATTTCATCACATTTTAATATATTCCCTGTATCAGACATGAAATGGGAACCATCCAATCATCTGGCAATAGATGTTCTCTCCTGTGATGGCCAACCCATGAGAAAGGCCAGCCACAGGTGTTTTATTATGGCTTCTCTTTTGCACGAATCTCCGCAAACATCCAGGAAATCCCAAACCCTGGAGGACTATATGACCACATTATTTGGAACACACAGACTTCCTTAAGGCAGAAAGTTCAGACCACTCCCAAAGTAGAAAGAAAATATCGATAGCAAAAGGGGATTCTGGCCAGATAATTAATGACTGATTCCTTTTGCCTTAGAACTCATTAATTTTTAAAATCACAAAAAAGTAAAGTCAAAATAAGTTGTGTTAGAAATGGACACATGACCAGTTCTGAAGGCTCCTTGATGGAGGTAAGAGGAGAAGATGTAAATACCACAACCTAGAGAGATAGAAGAGCAACATAGACACATGGAAACGTATTTCAGTCAAATAAATTTAAATGCTTGTGACAGAATAATCTCCTTATATACACATTTCTGTCTTGTCTTCACTACCGTACAAGAATTGAGAGAATGAAAATAATGGTTAGAAAATACTGTCTCCTTATTACCTCTTCTGGTTTTCCACCCCTGGCAGGATAATACACGACTCTGTATTTTTCCACTTTTCCTGGGGCATGAGTCCAGTTTACCATAAAGCTCCTGGCAGTGACTTCAGAAGTAATCAGTTCTGTAGGTGGCCCAATGGTGGCAAGGGCTGAGGCTAAATTTTAAAGAAACACATAAAATGAGCCTCTTTCCCATACTTATTTCTTATGAACCTAGGAAACTCCACTAGTCAGAAATGATTGTTGATTTTATGCTGCCTCTAAGATTTTCATCTCTAGATAAATTAATTCAGTAATTCATTATAGGCATACCTCAGAGATATTGTGGGTTCAGTTCCAGACCTCTGCAATAAAGCAAGTCACACAATATTTTTGGTTTCCCAATACATATAAAAGTTATGTTTACCTTATACTGTAGTCTACTAAGTGTGCAATTGCATTATGTCTAAAAAAAACAATATACATACCTTAATTTAAAAATAATGCTTTTGAAAAAAATGGCACCAATGGACTTGCTCGACACAGGGTTGCCACAAACTTTCAGTCTGTAAAAAACACAATATCTGCAAAGCGCAATAAAGCGAAGCACAACAAAACAAGGTATGCCTGTACAACATTTGTTTATTGAAACATTTGTCTATTAGGTACCAATCACTATGCTAGGTTCTGAGGATACAACCTTAAATAAGACATAGCCCTTGACTCTAAGGAACTTTCTTGCTGTAGAATAGTAAAAAAAAACAAAAACAAAAACACAACATTAATTGAGTCTGTATCTAAAGGTACTCTTCTGAGCTCTTTAGAAGTATTACCTCATTTAATTCTCAATAGTTGCTATTATTGTTCCCATGTTGTAGGTGAGAAAACCAAGTCAGAATGATGTGAAATAACTTGCCCAAGTCACACTATTAGTGAGTATCAGAGCTGAGATTGATACCCAAGCTTCTTGACACAAGAGCCTGTGTTTTTATGCAACAGAGGGTACCGCCTCTACACTGAAGACTTCAACAAATGGCCAATATTTAAAAGTAGAAAGAGAAGAAACAGCAACTAATACATACTGAAGGTCCACTATAAGCTAAACATCATGTAAGCACATTGTGTGTGTTATATACATGTTAAAACAATGAGTCTGTAAAAGATCTGGGACATGTAAAGTTTAAAGTCCTTGAACTTTAGGATTTATTATCTGCTAGGGGCATTTACTTAAAGGGACTTTAGTAGCCATAACAATGGGGAAAAAAAACATAGTTATGGAACGATAACTATGACCAGGTACTTTATTACATGTTTTATCAGCAACCACATGTAGAATTTTTTGTGGGTAAAAATGGGCTCTAAAGTCATCTCATCAAGCACCTCAGAGAAACTTATTTAGGAAGCTACTACTTGGCTGCCCAACCTAGCCCCAAGAGTTCTAGTCCAGGGAAA